AAAATATTTTTCCTATCAGAGATTGTCTCATTTTCATCATTTAGAACTTTATCCCAAATATCCAGCTAGAGGGGAATAGATAATTTAGAGCACATCATTACTAACATCAGAAAATGACCTACTAATGAAATTTAGATTTATAAGAATTTATAAGAATAAGCTCAGAACACAAAACTTAATGGGACTTCTAGACATTTGGGATTTTGGGGATAATATCTTGATTAACAAATTATAAACCATTCCTTCTGGAATGCATAAGCTGGGTAAGATAGTTATCCCTTTCTCCCTACCCAAAAGTTTAAAAGCACAATAATGATGGGTTCAAAACTCTCAATGCAGAGGCTTCTCACTATTAATGAACAATTTCCATTATTAAGTTTGAAATACTCTAAATTAATCTCTCCTTCTGCTTCCTTGCCAAGAAGGTTTGTACCTAGTAGAAGATTTATTGGTGTGTGTTGTATTAAAATTATTCATTTATTTATCTGTCTTTCATATTAGATTGCAAGCTCCTGGAAGGGAGGTACACTAACTTATCTATCTCTGTTTCCCCACTGTCTGGTAAACTATTATTTAGAACTTAGAGATGTTTAGAGATATTGAACTAAATTTGCTATACTTTTTGGCATATCTAAGTTGCTTGACAACTCATTTATCCAGATTTTGATAGATATCACCTGAGCTAATCTTAGTCTTCCCATGGCATTTTGTCTAGTAATTCTTCTTTCTTAAAAGTCTAGAAACAGAAAGCTGTGATAAATAAGCTGAAATAGATGGACCTTATATTCACAGATTCTTGGTTACTTTGTGCCAGTTTTGTATGGTCCTACTCATCCTTTAATATACAATACTCTAACTTCAGTAGAATAAGGGTCCTTGTGGGGTTTCCTGGTCTCTGCCACCACTGGACTAAAAAAATGGGGAAGTAGTGTGGGTTGAGGATTCAACTGCAACATTCGGAATCAGACTGCCTGGCTTCAGATCTCGAGTTCAACACTCCTAAAGGACCTAAGGCAAGACATTTAATCTTTCAAAACTTTTTTTTTTAAACTTCCTCATTTAAAAAGTGGAACTAATAATAGGAAGTACTCATAGGCTATTCTGAGAGATAAATAAGATAACTCATGGACATAACTTATCAAATGAGCATAGTTTCTGGCATCCAATAAGGGCTTAATGCATATTTTAAAAACTTTGTTGCATTCTTACTATGCTTCTTATAATTAAGTAGATTGTCTCTAAACATTTGTTGAAATAAAGTGACTGAGTCTTATTTTCCTCTGTTTTAGAAAACTGTAAACCTCTGTTTGCTGAACATTGTGTTATAAAATTACCCTGAGGTGTTTAAAATCTAGCCACATATGTATGTTAAGGCATTGTTCCGTCCTTCTGTAAAATGAAACAAAACAAAAATAAGCTCATGAAATACACGAAATGTGTTTAGTTATCTTTTCATCTATATCTATTCTAAGTAATACTATTTCTTTGGGCACCTGAATTGAAGCACTGCTGATAAAACAATGATTTGTGAGTCATAGTAAATGACCCTGACTACTTCACAAGCTTAAAAACCAATCAGATTTTTTAAATTAAAAAAGGAAACCATAACAAACACCAGCACCACCACTGACAACAAAAGCAAAATTACAAGCCTCAAGCCACGCTGGCCTATTTTATTACAGGCTGTAAATTAATTGATTGTGTATTTGAATTTTAAGACATAGTAGACTATGCACTTAAACTGACATATTAAAAAAATTGCTAATATACAGTTGATTTAGACTCAACACTACATGTAAATCAGCATGAAGTAGAATACCTTGACACATCCTCTAATAATTGGAATATACAAAATTACTTTTACTGTGAAATAAGAGGGAGCCAAATAGGAAAAGGAGTACATCAAGGCTGTACATTGTCACTCTGCTTATTTAACTGATATGCAGAGTATATCATGAGAAACGCTGGGCTGAATGAAGTACAAGCTGGAATCAAGATTGCTGGGAGAAATATCAGTAACCTCAGATATGCAGATGACACCACCCTTATGGCAGAAAGCAAAGAAAAACTAAACAGCCTCTTGATGACTGTGAAAGAGTAGAGTGAAAAAGTTGGCTTGAAACTCAATATTCAGAAAACTAAGATCATGGCATCCAGTCCCATCACTTCATGGGAAATAGATGGGGAAACAGTGGAAACAGTGACAGACTTTATTTTATGGGGGCTCCAAAATCACTGCAGATGGTGATTGCAGCCATGAAATTAAAAGACGCTTACTCCTTGGAAGAAAAGTTATGACCAACCTAGAGAGCATATTAAAAAGCAGAGACATTGCCTTGCCAACAAAGGTCCATCTAGTCAAGGCTATGGTTTTCCAGTAGTCATGTATGGATGTGAGAGTTGGACTATAAAGAAAGCTGAGCGCCGAAGAACTGATGCTTTTGAACTGTGGTGTTGGAGAAGACTCTTGAGAGTCCCTTGGACTGCAAGGAGATCCAACCAGTCCATCCTAAAGGAAATCAATCCTGAATATTCATTGGAAGGACTGATGTTGAAGCTGAAACTCCATTTCTTTGGCCATCTGATGTGAAGAACTGACTCATTCGAAAATACCCTGATGCTGGGAAAGACTGAAGCCAGGAAGGGAAGGGGACGACAGAGGATGGGATAGTTGGATGGCATCACCGACTCAATGGACATGAGTTTGAGTCCATTTAGTAGTAGGTGAAGGACAGGGAGACCTGGCGTGCTGCATTCCATGAAGGCACAAAGAGTCAGACACAACTGAGTGACTGAACTGAACTAAACTTCACCTGGTAACATAAGCAAACAGGAAGATATAACCCCTAAGAACAAGCTGCACCTTTAAGTTATGTTACTGAAAAGTCATTACACTTGTAAATTCCAATCATATCCCATTTTATCTTCTATCTCTAATTCTACCAGAATTAGTTCTTATTCAGTATATTTTTTTCAAATAATTTGTTATTATACATATGCATCTAATGCTGCAACTAGTATTTTTAAATGTTGAAAAAGTCTGATAATATAGCATCACTATGTCAAGGAGGTGCTATGAATGTCTTCAGTATAATAAATTACAAGAATCAAGGAAATGAAACTTTGATACAAATATTATCTCTAAGAGTAATTTTGCCATAGAGTATCAATGAGTAACATAATAGTTACTTTAAAGAAGTGGTTTGGTAAATTAAAATACATTTAAAATACAGAAGCAATTCTGAATCCACTGTGAACTTTTTGAATACAATTTAATGTCACTTTCTTTTTTAAAATTCTTCTTAGTAAAGTTTGTTTCAAGACAGCATGTGATTTAGGTTAAGTATGTGCATGTTTTATTTATTTATATTAACATTTTATGTGATCCTATTTATCTGGCTGACACATTTTTCTATTATATCTTTAAATAAGACACAAAGTATCATATAAAAATTATTTAAAATCTAAACAATGATTAGGTTCTTGCTCAACAGAAAAAATTGTGTGAGATAGTTCAGCACATACTGATAATGATAGAGACAGAGGCACACTTACTCCTTTCTTGGTGTGGATATCAGAGACTGTCAGTAGAAAACAAACTGGAGGAAATAGTCAGTTTTTAAATTTTTCCTGATCTGTACTCAAGTCTCTCAGTTGCATCCAACTCTTTGTGACCCCTTGGAACATAGCCCATGAGGCTCCTCTGTCCATGGGATTTTCTCAGCAAGAATACTGTAGAGGGTTGCCATTTCTTCCTCCAAGGTGTCCTGGTCTAAGCTTTTATTATTTTATTTAAAATAAATCCCACAAAGATAACACAAACAATACCACAGTGATAAAATATAATTCCAAGTGGAATATAAAGGCTATTGAGACTTCTCTCCAAGCAAATAGTAGCTAGTATGCTGTTTCCAGTTTAGAATTTTCAAAACCATATTTAGTAACAGTATTCTGATAGCTCTTGCCAAGGATCTAAATAACATGGAGAAGTATCAGACTGGGTGTATCATTTGCTGTCATTAAAAAAAAAAATCTATAAACTATCTACAGTTAAAAGCAAAATGCTATGTCCTGTTCAGATTCTGAGAAAGGTCAATTTATGTATAAAGTTGATTCATCTCTTTCACATGAACTTGAGACTTACTAAATGGCCACAAGTAGAGTACCAAACTCAATTCTTTTGATTAAGTTAACAGCAAGAAAAGGTATTAAAACAGACTAGATTCCCAAGGCTATACATTTAAGTTCTCCCATGTATTGAAACATTTTAAATTTTAATGATAATTTTTGTGTGTTCTTAAACACTAAACCTTGCCTAATGCTAAATACCAAACTTTGGGATTAAGTGGAATTTATCATCTGATATAATCTTCTGTGGAAAAAAATGATCTCTTATTTGGTTTTACTTGCCGAGAAAAATTTTAAATAATTTAAATTATCCCTTTGTATACCAAAAACTGAAGCATCAACCCTGGATTTTTAAATAAAATATTTTTTTATTAAAACATTACTGTTTTATAAGTAAATCCATATTTTATGCACAGATATCACTGAAGAGACACTATTAATATATTTTATCGCAATGAATTACGTATTGCTATGAGATTGATGAGCACAACCATAAATAGTCAGTGCAGAATCTAATTCTGTTAGATTAGCTTAGTTCCAATGGTATTTCTTCCCTCTACATAAAAGAGACACAGACTTTTTTTCCCCTTTCAATTGGTCTAGTAGTACATAGGCTAGCACCACATAATCAAATATGCTAATATTTGTACAAAAATTATGAATCAACACATCAAGTGGGATAAATTTAGTCTATAAATAGGCTCTATTTAGTTTGAGTCACATTTTGCTGCTAAGTGAATTCAGGCTGCTTTCATTTATTTCAATTACTCTACCATAAACTCACAAGTAAGAAGTACCACTCTGGGGAAAATAGAGAAGACTCTTACCTTGACACATGAAACCTCTTTGGGGAAAATAGAGAAGACTCTTACCTTGACACATGAAACCTCTTTCTTCATAGCCAGCATTGCAGGAACATTTGCCAATGGGTACCAGCCATTCACCTTCTGTACTGCAGTACATCCTAGGAGGATCTTCCTCCTTAGAATTGTTAACACAAGAGCCTCTAACTTCCACCAGAGATTGGGAATCCATGGGTACTGTGTCTGGAAACATAGCCAGATTCTTCACTGTAAACGGGCACTTTTTGAAGTACACTCTCACAGACACTAAGGCAACACATGCACCAACATCTTGAAAAGCCAAATAAAATCCCTTTTTGTTGACAGGACCTACTTCTCTAACCTCAGTGTTGAGTTTAAGAATACGGTCCCCGAGATCCATTTGCGTGAAACTTTCATCAGCTGCAATGGTGTCAATCTTTGTAAACTGATGTTCTCGGAATTTGACTCCATGATCATCATCAGACTCCATGTAGTACAGATTGAAAGTCTCCTTGCAAGTTCCCAAAACCAATGGAATGCTATTGCAGTCCCGAAGAGTGAACTTTAGCTCCACATAGATCTTCTGAGCTGAGTTCCTGGGGACCCAGTTTGTCCTCAGCCAATTATTTTGGCTGTGATCCATGACATTGCACACCTGGTAAGTCCGGATGGGTGTGTAATGTTCATCAACACCACTGATCTCTTCCCACTTGAAGAATGAAAGAAGAAGAAAAAAAGAAAGGCAGAATTAATGAGTTAAGCATGATGAATATTTGCGAATACAAGATGAAGGTGTTAATGGCATCACAGGAAATACAAAACAAATTAACAGAAACTTCACTGTTGCTCACTAAAGATCAAGATGTGCAGCAACTCTGTAACATTCTTGTTTGCAGGTTTTATTATTTACAAGGTTCTCTGAATTCATTGACACAAAATAATTCAAAATTTTGATGAACACATTTGAATTTTATTGGAATTTGTGTGATAGTCAGGAAGAAGTTGCTTAGCAATTGATTGGACCTAGACAAACATCCTAGGATAAAAATGTCAAGTCAGTCATCTCTAATAACATGATAAAAATTATTTTGTTGTATATTTTAGGGGATTTTTTTGGGGGTTTTCTCTTTAAAAAGCAAAAGAAAAATACCACTGCCTAGCGTTTCTTTTTATTAAACTTTCTCCAATTTGGGTCATACTTTGGTAAAATTAGCATATCACAAACAAAGTGAATCTAAATTATTTCATTACCAGGTATCTTTATGCATGACATTTATTAACATACTTGGTCATTTCAAGAAATACATGATGGAGAACTTTGGTTTCTGAAGTAAAAACATGAACATGTCTCCTTCCCATCTCCTCAAAATCCAACAAATAGTTATACGTGTAGAACAGAAGATTTAAGTATAGTGAACATTTCAATTCTTAATATCTTTTACCCATGTTAAATTTTCCACATGCAAGAAATACATGGCTACTTAAGTTGTTGTTATATCAGTTAGGGTTATGATGGTAATAAAACTTTTTTTCATTGTAAATACACTCAAAAAGTTTCAAGACTTTTTAGAAAAGTTAAGCACTGCTTCTTTGATCTTTATACAGGTTTTGAGAAGCTTTCAAGTTAGCATCACATTGTTTGTGTTATTTATGATTCTAAAACTATTATTGTATCTAACTATTATGGCTGTGTCTACACTCAGTTTATACCATGCCCAATTATCTTCTTGGTGCTTGGAAAATACATCATTTTCCATGTCAGATTAGAGTTCTAATCTTCTATGGCTCCCCATTACTCATGTAAGAACTTCAAACTCTTCAGTTTGGCATTTGAGCTTTTCCAAAAACGATTCCCAACTTACATTTATTTTTTTCTAAAAGTTTGAATTGAGATTAGAGAATTCTAAGTTTCACTTATGCAGATATTGTTCTTGTCTCTGTGAACTCTTTTTCAGGTTTACAAAAGAAATGTTGGGTCTTTTTTTGCTATGGTATAAAAAAAGAGCATTTGTCTTTGCTCATTTCCCCGTGATGCCTCCCATAACCTTAATGTGCTTAAGACACTTCCTGTTTTGTATAACACTTATTAAATATCTTTTTCATTTTTAGATTTAATTCATGATACATCATTAGGTTAGTTTAACATTGTTTCATATACATTTGTTAGATTTTAGAGCTCTTTATATCCTTTATAATATGCAGCACACAACTTCACATTTTGGGAATAAAAGATGAATAAAATGCATAAAAATTATGTTTTCTTATAATATAGTTAGTAATAATTCAAGGAAATAATAAAGTTCATATTATAGAATATATTTTAACTTTGTAAATAAATAAAATCCTTGTGATGCCCATTATAAATGGGTTCCTAAAATCTCCATTAAAAGAGTTCCTTGTTTTCATAAGGAATGTTTTAAATAATTTTTAACTAAATCAATGGCATTTAAAATATATTAAAGTATTTTCTACTCAAATTTATTAAATACACATAGGAATTCCAACCCACAACTCTAGTTGCAAAGTGAGATAAAATGCTATTTTTTTAAATTGACAATAACCAAAAGTAAAGAAATATGGCATTTATCTGGCCTTTGAACCTCATTAGCCAAAAAAATAATTATTTACATTAGAGTGTTTGAATTATCAAATCCAAGCTGCACCCTGCCCCATTACCAACGTGAGAAACACAGTATTAACACTCTTTATTGTCCTTAGCTCTCCTACCAACCTAAGAACAAAACAAAGGCAAATAGTTAAACAGCACCACTTATTTCAGTAACTTGGATCATTGAGGGTCTGGAATATATGAGAAGCACTCATTTTCTGGAGGCAAAATTGGCTTGTCCTTATTGTCATGACTAACACCCAACAAAGGAACCCATTTTGTTATTTTAGAAAACCCTAGAATAATATACAAGAAAATATAATGTATTTTTAATAGTCACCAATTTATCATTTTCAAACAACCACTCTATAAATATATTATATGGAGAGCTTTTAAGAACAAAAGTATATATGAGAGTCTCATTTCTGAGAATTTTACACTGAGGTGCCTATAAAGTAAAGTCACATTCAAAACCAAAATTAATGTATAACTTTAATATCAGAAAATTTAAAACCTATGAACTGAGTTGAAGCTCATAAAAATTGTAATGTTCAATAGTATTATTATGTTACATATTCTCTATTAGTATTACATTGATTCTGTGATGGTATTGTAAAGTATAGAGCTAACAAAAACTCCAGAGAATAAATGCTTTCTGTGGGCATTTTACAGAACATTAGATGATAGGCATATTTAAAAATTAGCCAACTGACTTCAAAAATTTTAGGTCAGAATTTCCTTATCAGAATAGATAAGTTTGTACTTTGATGAATCAGTTGCAATTTTCTCCTGCTCTGGACAGCATTTTGTTAGACACCAAACAGAAATGACACAGAAATGATACCATGTAAAGATTTTCACAATTTGATGTAAAATATGATTTTAATTATGGAGATATCGATGTAGTCTAACATTTTCCTTTGAATGCTAATTTGGCAAGCTATCACAAGCCCTTGAATGCAGACGTACAAATTGCAAGAAGATAATGCAAACAGCACCAGCATGCTCTGTGCATAAAAAGGTTGCAGAGAGCAATTATCACTTCATTAATTTGTAATGAAAACCAAATTGCCTGTGAGTAATGGTGACTTGCCATCTCAGACCACTTGCAAAAAAACAGCAGGTCTCTAACTCTAGCGTCTGCCGAGGACTTGTTTAGTTGCTCAGTCCTGTCCTTTTGCGACCCCATAGACTGTATGTAGCCACCCAGACTCCTCCGCCCATGGGATTTCTCAAGCAAGAATACTGGAGAGAGTGGTCATTTCCTCCTCCAGGGAATCTTCCGGGTCCAGGGATCAAACCCACGTCTGCTGCCTGGCAGGCAGATTCTTTATCGCTGAGCCACCTAGGAAACTGCTGAGGACCAGAGAGTGGAAATAAGATTCCTAAAAAAGTAGTCTTGAAACAGCAGCCACAGAAATCATTAAAGTGCTGCTGCAATTCTTACATTTTATAAATTAAAAGAATACTCGTATTTACCCAATCTTCATATTCCAAGAACTAAAATGTACATTCATAAATTATTAGAGATAACATAATATATTGTCATTGTGCCAAGACCAATGTGAACCAAGAAAATGGGTGATTTAGAATTAGTGACATATAAAATTGGGAGGTGCAAATCTTTTATCTCTTCATTTTTCTAATCCTTAAGGAAGAATCTCTTCAAGGGGTGTCCAGCAGTAACACTGTCCAGCAGAAAGGGACGCAGAACTAGTAAGAACAGAACTAATAATACAGACACAGAACTAGTGACTAATAAGGAAATCAGTCCAGAATATTCATTGGAAGGACTGATGCTAAAGCTGAAACTACAACAATTTGGCTGCCTGATGCGAAGAACTGACTGACTGGAAAAGAACCTGATGCTGGGAAAGATTGAAGGCAGGAGGAGAAGGGGATGACAGAGGATGAGATGGTTGGATGGCATCACCGACTGGATGGGCATGAGTTTGAGAGAGCTCTGGGATTTGGTGATGGACATGAAAGCCTGGCATGCTGCAGTCCATGGGGTCACAAAGAGTCAGACACAATGGAGCGACTGGAATGATTTCCTTTAGGATGGACTGGTTGGATCTCTTCACAGTCCAAGGGACTCTCAAGAGTCTTCTCCAACACCACAGTTCAAAAGCATCAGTTCTTCAGCACTCAGCTTTCTTTATAGTCCAACTCTCACATCCATACATAACTACTGGAAAAACCATAGCTTTGACTAGATGGACCTCAGTACATCAATGTGAAGCAGTCATAATTATATATCCCCTTCCTCTTGAACCTTCCTTCTCTCTCCTACCCCACACCTCTAGGTTGTCATGAGACTGGTCTGGGTTCCCTGCGTTATACAGTAGTCTTCCACTAGCTATCTATTTCACACATGGTAGCGTATTTATTTCAATACTACTTTCTCAATTTGCTCTACCCTCTCCTTCCCAAGACTTCTGAATCTCCTCAGAAACTATTGCTATGTCTAATATTTCCAGATAATCCTGCCTCTGTTTCTATTGAAGGCCCTATTGCTCAGCCCTCATCCCATATGTTGTTGTTGCCCGATTTGCCGAGGCCCAGATGTGCCTTATGTAGAAACTCACCTGAATAACCTCATCTTCTACCTCCCACAAAGATTTGTAGGATATTATTATAATAAACAACACAAGTCTAATCATATTGCTCTTCTGTTTCACATCTGGTGGTAAATGCAAAACTTGTGCATTACAAAAAGATGTAAACAGTGTGTGTGGGAGGGCTACCTTCGGTCACATATTTCTCCTGGTGTGAATGCAAGTCAACTGGTTTTAGATATGCTACAGTTTTTAGAGTTCACTATAATTTGGTAGTCTCCTACTGTGATTTCTGAAATGATTTGTGATTTTTTTAAGATGCCTCTATAATAGTGGTTTAATTTTATTCCACATGCATTTATTGAATGTTTCTATATGCAAAGCCCAGGTTAGAAGCAGTAGATAGTAAAACGATAAGTAAAATGTGACTTTTGAAAATCCAGAAATTGATGCTGGAAGGAAGGGCATGAGTATCACACAAGGCAGATGATGATATGTGGTCCATTTGAGTTGTTGCAAGGAGCTGTGGGGAAAGAAAGGATT